TGTGGGTAGAAGAAGTCAGGATTAGGAGCAGGTAGCAGAGAGAGTGATTCTGTGTGGAACTAATGAATAACATGCACACTTGGATGTGGTAGAACCTGAGGGCACAGCTATCCCCAGCACTTTCATTGCAAGAAGCTGTTAGAACTGGCACCATGCATACATTGGGAAGGGTGTCTTTAATTTTGTTACAGCTTTTTCAAAACATGGAATTATTTTTACATTTTCCTGCTTATTGCTTCTGTTTTTTCCTAGCACCTTTTTCACTACCGTCTTTATGTTTCTCTTTATGGCATAAGAATGTACTGTAAATATGTGAGACTTTAATCAGCAAATTTGATAACTAATTTTTTGGAACTCTGGGGAAACCCAAGTACCTTCATCTGCTGCTCTCACAGCAGGTTAGAAAAAATGATGACTGCTGTGAGCACAAACTGGAGAGAGAAAGTTGCAGTAGGTTGTGCTGTTGAAGGCTGGGGTGAAAAGAAGGATTCCAGCTTTGTAAAGGAGCAGTCCCAGAACATACCTGCATTTGGAATAGAAGAAAGTTGCTTCAGTAAGTTACAGCCTGTAGACTATTCAAAGTGCTCTCAGGAATGTTAGTTCTCAGAGTGGGAGTCTGATGTGAACATTCCAAATAAGGTGCAGTTTCTAAGGTGCACTTTCCTGGAGCACCCAGCCACAATAAAACCCTGGTTTTGACAGGAGCCACTGGCAGATATTATAACATAAAATTACATGCTTAGCATGAATGGAAGTTTTAAAATAATGATTCTCATGAGCTCCTAAGTACATTTTCAGTTTCTTCACAGTCCAGCAGTCTGCCTTTCTGTTATTTCAGAAAGAGAGATTGCTATTGAATATATTCTTACTATTGTCACGAAAGACCCGAAATTTCAGTCATATATGCAACAGTATTCAGTTCTAAGAGTATGCCTGATAGCTTGTGTATTTTACAATTGTGAAATGAGTCAACTGTTAATTCCTGGAAAGGGATGGTGTTAAGCTGTTGTATCTTGGAGCTAGCTGTTATATCTTAGTCAGTCAGTGTCCATGTGTGCAGGCATGCATATGTTAACATGTTTTCTTCGTTCTAAGAAGCTATATAGAGAATGCTGCATAGACGATATGTTGAAAGTCAGTTTACAGATACTGTGTGCTTTTCATTCCATCATGAGGTGTTTGGTATGAAAGGCTACTGGATACATTTATTTAACCTTTTTTTCTTTCTTTTTTTTTTTTAACTGTCTTGATCCAGTTTGTAAAAAATGCTCAAAGAATTACAAAAAATTATATTGTTTTAATTACAGTGATAGCAGTATTTCACAGAACGAACTACAACTTCAGTAAACTAAGTCCAGAAATCCATTAGCAGATGCCTGGCTTTCCTCTTCCCTTAGTGCACAGAATTACAGAGGAGTCAGTAGTTAGTCCATAATTAAACCTAATACTGCTATTTCCACTTAGGTAGGACTAAAGTCTATTTTATAGGTTGACTTCTGATTTTAGTTTCAGAGACTAGCCTAATGACTCTCCTAGGCGATTTGCATTATCCTCCACATCCTACCTTCCTGAAAAATCACTAACATGTTTTGCGACCTCTGCGGTTAAAGGTTAAAGCAGCACCTTTATTCTGAAATGTGAATATTTTTCTGCAGACATATCTTTAGGTCATTGTAACTTAAAACATAAATTTTGTATGAGCAGCACATTTCAATCAAACTCACTATCCTATTCTCTGATATAAAATAATTGTTTCATTAAACATGCAATTCCTTCTTTGTCGCCATTCCACAAAATGGATACAAGTACTGAATGAGTACAATTTTACACGATATACAAAGCTGTTTTGTTAAATTTATGCAAATTCCTAGGCGGATGCTTCTCACTTACTTTCGATCTATTTTATAGAAATATATTTCAGTTAAAATAATATAGATATTCAGGCATGCAGTTGAAACAATTTTAGCTGAAAATGATACTTTGTTAACGTGTATGACCGTGAGCCCTGTATTTTGCCAAAGAATGCCAACATGAACGAACAGCTGATGGACGTTTCTAGCCTTCACAGATGTACTCCCTCCTGCAACTAATCATTTTCCCAGTTTTTCACAAATGTGATAAGCTTCTTTTAAGTGAAGTTTTATGGAGTTACAGTAGACTGAATAAAAGAGACTCACAACTATAGCAGCATTAATAAAATCAACAGTCCTACGTTAAAAAGGTCTAATTCATAAATTCATTAACTCCTAAAATAGTCACTCACTTAGCCTGGGGGAGTTAAAAAATGTAAATATTGAGGTTTTCCTACCTAGTGATGGAGAGTTTGAGTAGTTAGGCTCTTCCACTTTCTAGTGAAAAGATTTAATTATCAGATTGAGGAAGCAGAAACATTTTCACCACCAAACAAAATATAACTTACATGGAAACCCTGTGTATGGCAGGGCATCCCCTTTACCTGCTCACACTTTACCTAACTGCCTTCTCAGCTGCAACCTTCACAGATTTAAGCAGCCTACTAAGTTTTTGTGTTTGCACGCTTTTGTTAACTTACACTTTTAACTTAGATATGTGTCTTTTGCAGCCTGCACGTAACAAGAAGGCAAGTTTAACAGAATTACGTTTATTAGATCACGCAAGTAAGGTCAAGCAATGTAGTAGAGTCAATGTGCTTTATTTATTGACACGAGTAAATATATTATCTGTGCTGTTGATGAATCAACATCTCTTTTGGTGCATATTTGAATCATAATACACATAGGCAAAGCAATTACTATTATATGTCCTTACATACATATGGGAAGAAAAGTGGGATGATTTTGAACAGCCTCTGCTGGGTTGTCTTACAAGGATAACTTTTATTTTGTGTTTTACTTGGTCTTCTGAAACTGTAGCATCTCCAGTGATTCACCTCGATCTCTCAAGCAGATGCATTTATTTGGACAAGGCCTTTTGCTTTTTCCTTGATATTTTTATTTATGCTATTATTCAGTGTCAGTACTATTAGTATAAATAAAAACACAAAATTTCAGGAAATACCCCTCACCAACTGATCTCATTTACTATCAATGGAGCAGTAAGGCAGTTATTGCAAAATCATAGCACTTCACTGTTCAAACAGACAGGATTTTATGGCTCTCCAACTGAATTTTGCTCCTGCCGCTTATTACGGAACATTACCTTTTAAGAGAGACTTGCAGCTGGTATCGATGACAGGCAACATGACATTTGTCACCTATCCTCTTGGGCAATTATCCAGGTGCAAACAGAAGTTATCATGATGCTCATTGGAGGGGAAAAAAGAAGGCAACTGTTATTTGCGAGTGAACAAAAAGGCTTTTGACTTGGTTTTGCATATATGAAATTTCCAAGAAGTTTTAGAACCAATGTCAGCTAACCCTCCTCAGAGATGGCAATTTCCACCAGCTGTGCCAGGAACTATACAGCCACTAGTAGGACGTGGGGACTATTTGCAGAAATAATTGAAGAAAGCCAGAAACTGCAGAAATAGGTAATGAATTTGTCACCCATCTGCTTTGAGATTAAAATTAAGTAGCACCTAGGCAAATAAGGCAGCTGACAGACCCAGAACTTGCTTCTCCCATGCAACTTTCCCTATCACTATTTTTTTTTTATAAATGTCTTTCTTCCCTTTAAGTTTAACTGGCTCTTTTAAAGGAATCATTCAGAAGACATGCTCAGAAGTCAGGGAAATGCTGTGAATGACTAAGAGGACTAGCAAATGTGTTTAGCAGTAAGCTTCAGCAGTTGCGGAATTTTAAGCGGATACTAACCTGTGAGAAGCAATGTAAGAGGGTTGTGTAGGTACTGATTGTCAGAATTGACTTGTGCATTGCCTACTTTTTTTAATTAAATAGAATAGTTGCAATATCACTAGTAAACCAGTTTTAAGGATTGTTTAGTTATGCAAGATGGCTGTAATAGCTGCCGTTTAGAATATTCTTATCTAGAAAGGATCTGAGAGGTCAGATGAGTATTCATATGACAACTTAGAGGATGAAGTGGTGGTGTTCAAGTTAGGGCCACACTGGTGTAAACTGAAGCTCTCAGCCTTCAGGAGAGTGTTCAAGAGAGGAATGCTCAGCACCTATTGCTCTGTTGAATTATTCCTATTTTCTTCTGCTGACAGTACAATACTTATTTCCTAAATACTCTCCAATATAAAACTGTAAGAAAACCAAAGTATATATTTTTACAGCACTGAGCATGCCTTCATTAGAAGTGCTAACTGGGAATAATTTTGACCTTATCCGAATTACTCTCTGGCTCTGGAGTAAAGAGCAGTAACTATTTGATAACTAAGGGCTGCACCTTAGAAGTGACTAAACAGTAAATGCCGCCACCTTGTTAAATCATGAAAAATTTATTATCATTACATATATATGAAGTTAAAAGATTTCAGTCAATAGTGTTTTGAACAAGCATTTCAGTTAAACATGAACCTGTTAGTGTAGCTAGGCTGAAATTAAACGTCAGGTTAGTGTTTTGCCTTTATTCAGTGATTCACGTCTAGTGTGTATATACAAAATTCATTTTCCTGTTAGAATGCCAGACAGTCATATTGCAACATTTACATTCCTCATATAAAATGATGTATAATGTACATTTTTAGCTTGATGGAGGTATATAAATATGTACAAAATAAACATTATTGTAGTTAATATATTCAGACCAGGTATTATTTAGCAACGTCAAAAGCAGATGCACACAAATTTAAGTCAAAATGATCAAAAAATCCTTTATGACATTAGTGACCAGTATTTGCATTGGTGAAGTAACACAGATACAGGCTTCTGTTTCAAGCCTCCTGTGGGCATCCAATAACTTTAAAAAAGACAAAGGTAATCAAGAAGCATAAGATAATTTTTTTTTATATATATATATAT